TGGAGAAGTGTCTAAGTGAAGATCGATGCGCACTTTTTATATTTCCCGAGCACTTCTTAGTTCTTACAGAGCCTGTGAAGAATCAGGCTACAGATGACGCCACAACGTCTGTCCTGTGTCTTGTAAAGCGAGTGCAGGAAGAACCTGGAAGGCCCTGGAAGCTGTAGAAGCCTTCCTGGTCTCCTGTCAAGAACTAGATGATTTATCAGGCAGCTCCTCCTCTGGTAGGGTGTTGATAAGAGAGGTTGTTTCAACAGCTCTTTGTATGTCATTCCATTATAAATTTCATCACCAAGTAAGGAATTTCAGAGAAGGCCTGACTTGGTAAAAGTAGTTCTTGGAACTTGCAATAGAGATCTGATGTTTGACCGCTTACTGTGTTTGCATTTCAGCAACAGCATTGCCCTTATTTATTCTTTAGCCGAATTTGTGGAGCGTATGATAAATCTGACAGTTTTATAGGACTTGTTTGGAAGATGGCCAGTACTGATAAACGATAAAATGCACGTTATCGTGTACATGCATTCTGGGTGATTAACTAGCTTTCATGGCGTGAGGCTCCCTTGTGAGCAGCAGTTTTGTTACCTTCTAAGTTACATTGGTGAATTTCATGCAAGAAGAGTGCAGTCTTTAAGTTGTGTGGAGGTTTACCATTTTGCTTTCTGTCCTTATGCTAAGGGTTTAACCGGCATCGTTCACTCCTCCCAGAGTATTGTTACTTGGAAAAAAGAAAGAGAATTTGTTATTCTTGTGCTGTAACTTTACGCTCTGGTTTATACAAGAGAATATCAGAGGACGGAGGGAGGAGGTACTGTCACAGCAAAAGCAGCACCATTGTTTTGTTACAGATAACAAGAATGGACAAATGGAAACTGCTTTTCCAGTGTCCTTTCACAACCCCCCAACATCTGGTAGAAACTGTTCTCAATGACTGTAATTACCATCAGTTACGACCCAAGAGTTTACTTGTGTCATTTTCAGTTTTTCTGATGTACATTGAACGGTTTCAGAATTGAGAGTGAAACGCTCAAGAATTTTAATTTCATGTGAATGTTGAAAACATGCAGAAATTTTAAGAAACTGTTAGTTTAGGCGTGCTTGCAAGTGAAATTTGTAAACCATCAATGCTGCCCTTCAGTATTTTTATCTTCTACCTTTCATCAGAAATTAATATTTCACTTTGATCTACAAAACTGCATTAAAACTCATCTACCCATACAGTTTATTTTATTTTAGATGATTTTTCTGTGTGTACATGCCCCCTGGAAGTCATAGATCTACCTACCTATCTATTCTAATCCATCATCCTATCTGCCTCTGGTTTTTATCTGTGTCACTTGAGTGGGGAGAAAATTAACTCACCTAGCCCCCGTCCACACGCTCCGGTGTGAAATAGTAACAGTTGCTGCCAGCAGGGATCGCACAGTGCACTCATATCAGTCAGTCATCTAGATTGGAGCTCCACCATTCTTCTCTTTGAGCACCTCATTAATGAGGTTCACTGTTATTTATTTGGTTCATCCACCAAGGAGCAGGGCATAAATTCATGGGATCACATCTACTTCTGGCCCTGTGGTTTGCAGACAAGAGGCACAGGAGTGGCCGGCGCTGCCTGTCACCATCTTCCCCACCGCCTCCTTGCCCTGCTCCGACCCTACTGTCACTCCCTCCCTTTTTTATTCTGCCTGAGAGTCTGTCTTATTTTCACCTTGGTTGACGGGCAGGGATTCAGAAGGGGCATCGCCAGCCTGGGGGCAGAGGTTAGCAGGGTGCATTGGCCTATCCTTGGCTTGGTCGAGTACTACAGACCCCCCACACACACCTTTTTTTTTTTTTCCTTTGGTGGTTTAAAGGTTGGTTGGCAACAGGTACTGGGCATACTCAGCCCAGGAAAACTGGTCAGAAAGGGGACATATGGGGACAGAAAAATAAGGAAGCAAGCATGTTCATAAAACTGAAATTTTTAGATTTTCAGGAAATGTGTTTAAGTTACCATCACATAACGATAAAAGGAAAAACTTTGGACTTCAAAAGGAAATTAATGATGTTTTAAGGCTACAAATACAGTGGTGTGGGAGCCAGCCTTGAGTGGATTCAAGTAAAATATAAACAGTTTGCTCAAATGGTTTTACTGTACTTAGAGCAGAAAACACTAGCTCCTTGCTTCACTCCTTCTCTCCTTCTAGTCCCTTTGTTGAAATATATTAGTGCTGTTCCTTCATGCAAAGTTACCATTATCAGTGTCTGTGTTTGGGGGAATTTAAAGGGAGATGATGCTTATGCTAATGTTAAATTCCAAACTGAGTATATACGACTTGAAGTAAAACACTTACTGTCTGTTGAAAATCTTTCTGAACTTTGTGATAGTACTATGTTTTTTAATGTACATAGCAATACTTTTGGGGGGGAAATAGCCATTTTCATCAATAAACTTATCACCTATACCTATTATATAGGGTATTTTGTTATATATTGAGGGATATATTTTGATGATAAAAATTTGCTTACATTCTTATGATTTATGGAAAGCTGCTTCCGGAGTGAAAATTCCCTGGAGTTTTTGTTGTTGTTGGAAGCTTTCTTAGGTTTGATGAGTAATGGTTTTTCTTCAACGTGCTCATGCTTGAACCCATGGGAACGGTGATTCCAAGAGAAATCCTGAAAATGAATGTAAGGTATCAGCCGAGAAGGGCCCTGGCGTCCAGGTCTTCGCTTCCCCCTCTGTCCTCTTGTACCCCCTGCAATGGCCTGGCTCCCCTCCCCTCGTTATTCCCCCCGCCTCAGGCCCAGCTCAGTGCCTCCTTCATCCCAGCAAAGTGTTTTCTTTTTGGGTGTCACCGTGCAGCGGGGTGTATACTGGTTGTGTCAGACCTTCACCTGTTTCACTCACGGAGTTTCTCCTGTATGCACATTTGTCTCCCGTCACCTTGTTGAGAGCGACATTCCTCCCTCACAGCATGGAAGCAGGCAAGCAGGCTTTGAATGAGTGGATGATGTTTAGATGAGGGGAAGAGTCGACATGGAGGCACGCGCAGCCCAGATCTTCCCGCTTTCCCGCCTGACCCACGACCACGTGGTTAGAGGAACAATGCTCATCTGCCGAGAGACAGTTGAGTTCAGAGCAGGAGTGTGGGAGCCTGCTTAGAAACCCCAGCTCTGCCCTTTGTTAATCCGCTCACCGGCCCTGTGCTGGAGATGCTAATAATGGTCCCCATTGTACAGGAGTGGTAATTAAGGCACGAGAGGCAACTTCTAAAGGCCCCACCAGTAACCAGGTGGGGGTTGCACGTGGCTACTGGCCTTGGCTTCTCTGCTCTCCTGCCGCTCAGTCTGGCTTTGATGACTGGGTCATATCTGTCAAGTTCTTGGTAGATGCTAAAGGCACAGGAACTAAGGACAGATGATACTTATTATCAGCCCCACATTGTGATGACAGCACAGGACCTTGGGACTTGGTTACATTGCTCCCATCGGCAGGAAGATTGGCTTTAGCTTTCAGGTTCGTCCCCTCCTTTGTGACCTCTTGAACAGAACATGCAATTGATGCAAACTGGCTCAACTGCTACAGTGTTTCTTCGTCCTGCTATCACGGGACTCCTAAAAAATAAGCTCCTCTGCCCCCCTGGATCAGGGCTGAGGCCATAAGAAGTAACTGCAGTGAGACAGAAGCATCTCAGATGTCACCAAGGCGAGCAGCTGGGCTGATGGACGGGTATGCGACGGAGATATGGGGGTCAGTCTCGGGTGGTGTTTTCTTAGCCCATCTTCCCCTTTGTCCTTGCTTTTGATTAGCCTGTTGCTCTCCGGCATCTTCCTCACGTCTTTGACCTTCAACTGACTTTCCATCCCCTCCGATTTTTCCAGAAATCAGAAAGTAAAGGAAAGCGGAATTGATTTTAGAAGCCTGGGGGGCAGAAGGAAGGGGGGAGAGCATAGATTTGGAACTCTAGGAAAGGTTTGTAAATGTTGACTTAAACTTTTGGGGGGCAGGGGGCAGGTGGCTAAGCACTTATTGAGCACCTCGAGTAACAGCTATCTTCCGCTTCCTCAGAATCTTGTTAGGCCATGTGTTCGGCTCGCCCTCTGTTGCTCTTGTTCTTTGCGTATTTGAACATTGTTTTGATTCTGCTAATGATGACCAACATGAACACACTGATTCTTTTATTATATGTCCTTTTATTTTCTTGCTAAAAGGAATTCAGCAAGCAGGAGCCCGTAATTGCCCTCCTCCATTAGGGTCAATAATGTTACCTGATTTTTTGAGTGCATCTTGAGCCCTTAGGTGACTGCTCCTGGTAACCGGGTGGCAGGGAGGGGACAGGGTGTGAGTGGAAACCACAACGGGGAGGTGTGCTCAGGGAGGTGAGCTGCCCTGGAGGTAAAGCACTGTGAGAGGAGGGCCCCCCACCCCGAGACTCCACAGGGAGGCAGGACCGTCCTGTTTGAGGGGCATCGCTTAGGGCGGGCTTGTGCGGGGCTAGGAGACAGGGGTCATATGTGCCTGGTCAGACTTGGAAACGTTCAGCTTATGACGTAGCACTGCCCCCTCCCGGGGCTGTCTGTCATGGCTGACCTGTGGCTGCAGTCTTCACGTGGGCCAACCCCAGACAGAGACTGGGAGGAGCCCTCACAACACCTGTAGTTTCCACATGGTGCAAGAGCTCCCCTGAAACTGGTCGCCGGCAGCCGAAACCCAGGGCTGGCAGGCTGTGGGTCATGCTGCTGATGAAGTGCAGCTCCTGTTTAACGAGCATGGGCCCAGTGAGGCAGGCTTGTTTGTGGTCTGAATGTTACCCTGTACATTCCTTAACCTCTTAGCAAGGTTTAAAAAAAAAAAATGCAGCCTTTTCAGAAGTTATGCGTGTACATCAATCAAAGCTGTGTGTTAATTACTGCTGTCAAATTTCTGATTGAAGTCAAAGTTTTTTCATTGTTGGTAAATGGATCAGACACTTTGTCATCAGCTCTTTACACTTTCCCCCCCTTGTTTTCTGTTTTAGTTGCTGATATGTGTTCAAGATGAGTGGGATGGGAGAAAATACCTCTGACCCATCCAGGGCAGAGACAAGAAAGCGCAAGGAATGTCCTGACCAGCTTGGACCCAGGTGAGAGTCTGGCTCAGAGACAGGGCCAGCGTCGCCCATGAAGCCACATGCTTGCTTCTCTCATTCAACAGCACTGATTTTCCACCTCGTGGAAATGTGGTCTGGTTTTTCTCCTTAACGGTTAAACCTTTGAATGTGTTACTTAGCTTATGTTTTGGAGATGCAGATTAGTCACAGATCTTATTTTTCTTTTTCACGCGGAGGAACGCTGCAAGATGGGGAACAGGAAAGAGGACCAGGAAGAGTGACTAAGAGAGGAAATGAAGGAAAAAGCAAAGGGCCAATATTTTATATTCCGTTTTCCCTCCCTCCTCATTGCCGAGCAAAAGCCTGTGGAGTGACTGCTGTCCACATCCCCGCTCCCGGGGGCTGCCGCTAGGTTCCTCAGGACTTCCTGGCCAACCACAGCCTTCTGTGTGTCCGACGGCCTTTTGTGCCCAGGCTCCTCCATGAGGCAGTTTGGTACAAGGGAGAGGGGCTGCCCTCTTACCTGGTGCTGTGTGGGGCCGCGGCGGGGTGGGCACACCTTGCAGCCCTCTCCCTGGTGCTCTGCAGTCTTTGTAACACAGCCCCCCTTCACCTGTGTGTCACTTGTTTATTATAACCTTGTGGGGTTCGGGGGTGATGGAAGGAGGTGGAGGTGGGAGAGGGGAAACTTGGTTCTTCTACTCATTCCAGCTACTCCCTCCGTTTCCTTCTACTTAATAAACCAGAAGCTGGGGATAAAAATGAGGCTTAGAAAAGCCGAAGTCTGGTCCTTGCTCTGCCAGCAGCTCCCTACGCGATCTTGGACAAATCATTAACCACTATAAATCAATGGAGAGTTGTGGATTAGTTTGTGAAAATAACGCTAATACCTAGATGTTAATATATGGAAGTCTATTACAAACTACAAAATTTTATCAATTGGTATTATACTGAAATGATACTAATTTATTAGAAATACAGAAAGCTGCTACATTAAACAACTTGCTTCTTTTCTGTATAGCATTGCTTGAATGTCTTTTAGTGGGCTCTCTACTGCACTTGGGGAGAAAAATGATACACTTATTATCAAAGGGAAATTTTGAGTTTGCTGTTTTATCAAATTCAGATGAGAAGATCTTGCAAATTTTTATTTTTCCCTCCCTTCAATTAACTTTCTAAAACTTTAGGTGAACTTGGACCGTTCGTTTATTTTTTGCATGTCATTCAGCTTGGACAGTTAACAAATACCCTGGGTCAGTTTCGCTTTTGTTTCAGCTGTACAGTGGTTTTTGCCTTATCTAAAATGACTGTTTGGTTTGATCTAAAAAGTCTGAGAAATTATAAAGGTTTATTTTTATTATTTTTTATGCTTTACCAAAAATCATTGAAACTTATGTATGGCTATTATAACTGGGTTAACTTCCATTTCTTCTTTGACACAGCTTAAATAAATTTTTATAAATGTAACCTCCCTTACTTCCCTAAAACTTCCCTTTATTTATTCAACAATAAATTTGATGCCCACTTGTGCCAAGAGTTGTATTAAGCACCGTGGGGAGGAAATTGTCCTTGTCCTTGTCATCATCAAGCTTACAGTCCAGTGGGAGACATCAAATCAAGCACGTTAAACAAATGATCACACGAGTAAATGTATAATTATGACCTGGGGTAAGTTTGATTTCAAACACCATGCAACATTTAGGGCAAATTCAGGTTTTTTTTCCCCCAACGTACTTCTGTGTTTATATAAGTAACTTTTATTTGCAATCTTTATATTAGAACTTGTTTAACATGCTTATCTTTTTTCATAATAGCTGTTTTTCCAATTCATAATAAAAATATGTTTTTTCTTTTTAGCCCCAAGAGGAGCACTGAGAAACGCAATCGTGAACAGGAAAATAAATATATTGAAGAACTTGCAGAGCTGATTTTTGCAAATTTTAACGATATTGACAACTTTAACTTCAAACCTGACAAATGTGCAATCTTAAAAGAAACTGTGAAGCAAATTCGTCAGATCAAAGAACAAGGTAAGAGGACTGAATTAATATTTTGAAGAATTTAGTTGATTTCTGTTTTTCCATGTGTGAGAGTCCCTTTAATCCTTTTCTTCTGCTTAAATTATTGATGAGGAAATGACATCACGGTGCAAGATGAATGCAAGTATCACTTGCAGCAGCTTATAAATAGACTTTATATAAAATTCAACAATTCCCTAAAGACCGAAGACTGAGGTGAGGCAGGGTGATGTAACTTTTCATCTAGTAAAACTCAGTTAGGTGCCTATTGCTTCTCCTCCCCACCTTGGAATTTTCATGACTGTCATAATTTGCAGTGAGGGGCCAACTGAAGATGGAAACCGGAAGTAGGGAGGCGAGCCACCTCTTGTTTCAGCACGTCAGCATATTTGATTAAGTCTGAGCCTCAACTGGCCACACTGCTAGATTAGAATTTCATACCCTGAATGACAAGAGATTTGAAAGGCTCACACTTCTCGTCAGAATTTTTTTGTGAAGTTGAAACACAAAACATGACAGCTTTCTTCCTGGGGTTTTCTTCTTTTTTTTTTTCCTGAGATCGTTTTTCTGCCTCTCTCCTTTGATATTTTTGCCTACAGAAAAACAGTTAAGAAAGTAATATTGTAAAAAACACATTAGATTTTGTGGTGCCAAAAAAAAAAAATCTGTATTAGGCAAGTATGAACAGTGTTTCAGTGCTCAGGGCCAATATATACTCTTGAAGTATTCACACACTGCTTTCCTTCAGGGCGAGGAAGATGATTATCTCTCGTAATCTGATTTTGAATGCATCCTTCTAGAATTTGTATTTTTTTAATCTACCTTTTATGTAATATTCAGAAGAGGCAGATTTTAGAACAATAATGTCTTTGTCTATATAGGTATATGAGCGTGAAACTGCCTCCTCCCATCTATTAGAAAATAAAATCCTAGCTACCTGTTCGTATATTACCATCATAGCCCTTTCCATTTGCATACATATACTGTTAAGCTTTATACAGAACAATTTTACACATGTAGTTCTGTCTTCTAAGAACTTAAAAATATACACATGGCATACACAACACAGTTTCTAATGACAGCCCACTCTGGAAGGCAGCCTCCCTGATGTTTCCATGAAGAGAATATCATAACATTCAAGGAGTTTCTACTCGCAGTGTCCGCCTCAGCCTCCCTTCAGCTCTCTCCCCTTCCTTCCTTTCCTTTTGAGATTCACTGGTCGTCGAAAACTCAGTTAATCTCAGTTTTGTGTCTTCTTCAATGTTTGCTATCAGCAAATGGATAAAATAATATTCCTGGAGCTCTTAGGAGAAGTAATTGGTTAAAGTTCTACAGTGTGTGGAAATGCTCGTATTTCTGGTTGCTGATATCATTGCAGTCTTGTATCAGGTTTTTAAAGATTTTGAATGATTCGATTTTGTGAACATTGCATGTTAGGTTGTACTTTAAAACAGTTATATCTATATATTTTTTTTTTACTGTCAAGGTCTGGCACAAGGTTTTCAGGTTTTGCAAAACCTTGGTAATTCCCCCTTCAAACCATAAAACACGTTAAGATGTGTCATGCTGGGCCTCGGCCATACTTTCACTGTGTGTTTAATCATAAGGCTGCATGCCACAGCCACCCAAGAAGCAGCAACAATAAACACCCTGTCACGTCTTATTCTTCTAATAATGTTCCTGTTAATTTGAAAAGTAACGTGTTTTGAAAAGGGAAACAGAAGTTAAAAACCGAATGAAAAGTAAAAATATACACTTAAGTCCTGAACTAGTCTAGTATTTTAAGAATATTGCTTGTTTAATACATTGGGTTTTTTTAAAAAAAAGAGCAAGACTTGAGAATCAAATCAGACAGAAGCTAGGTTTGAATGCTGGCTCTGCCCCTTACAAGATCTTAGAACCTGGGCAAGTTATTTGATCTCTCTGACACTCAGTTTTCCTCACACAGAATTTAGTAATCACAGCATTTAGGCTGCACAGTCGTGGGAGAAATATTGCGCTATGTACACATGCTCGGCAGGTACCTGTCACCATAAATGTTTAGTAAGTATTCAGTAAATATCTGTCCTACATCAAGCAGAAAGGCAACTTTTTTTCGTGGCCTATGCTAAGGTCTTCAGACAATGAGCTCTTCCTTCAGATGGAAAGTGGGGGGAAACGGTGATAAGTAACGTCTCTTACAGGGCTGTTTGAAGAAAGTAAGATTTTTCTAGTGCCAGAGAACTCTGCGTAGCCTCTGCTTATCACTCCACTGACAGCGCTGTTTGGCCAGCTTGGCTTCTCTTAGCAGCTGACAGACAGTAAGGCTCAAGAGCAACACATAAGTCAGACCGGAGCCTGCCTCTCTCCCTCTCTCCCTCTCTCTCTCTCTCTCTCTCTCTCTCTCTCTCTCTCTCTCTCTCTCTCTCTGCCCGCCTGCCCAACCGATTCCCCCGTCATTTAGTATAAATAAAATCCAATCATCGTCTTTACAACATTGTCCAAACTTAATTTGTATTGCAGTCGCAGGTGTCAGCCTGAATAAAGTCATAATTAGCCTAGAGAAGTTAAACTGATGTTGCATGGGGTACCACACTGAAGAAGACTCGATCGGGGAAGCTAGGCTCATAGTTAGGGAACCTTCCACTGTGCAGAGCTCAGGCGGGTCAGCCAGGCGAGACGGGCTCATTCAGTCAAGTCTCCTCTGTCATCAGCTGTTCCTCAAGTTTCCATACGCTTTATAAATAAAGGGAGAGGAAGAAGGATATTTTTAAATGGCCTAAAGGATGGGAATTTGGAGGGGGAATTACCAGCTATTTAAATACAGAAGCCTTGAGAGTGTACATAGCCTGCCTTAAACCACTGCATCAGCTTCTCGATACTGAACTATGGGGTTTCATCCCGTTTGGTGTGATGCTGATAGATGTTTAAAACTTCTGGCTTCTATAACTTACAAACCGTAGCGATAAATAGAAAACAACCTCTTGTCCTAATTGGGAGGCTAATGTTGCTTCTATTCCACAGAATAATAAATAGTATGAAAAATACAGGTGATTTAATTTTGGATGACTATGTCCAATTTCACACTTTTTAACTGGAAACTTAAATAAAAATTTCTGTGGAAAGTATATGGTGATTCCTGTGCTCTTAAAAAATAAAATCGATTCAACATCATAAAAACTAACAACCTGATGTAAAAATGATAAGAGGACCTGAATAGACATTTGTCCAAAGAGGACGTACATTTGCCAACAGATACATGAAAAGATGTTCAACATCGCTAATCATCAGGGAAATGCAAATTAAATTAAAACCACAGTGAGATACCACTTCACACTTGTTAGAATGACTATTATCAAAAAGACAACAAACAACAAGTGTTGGTAAGGATGTGGAGAACAGGGAATCCTTCTGTACTGTTTGTGGGATTGTAAATTGGTGCAGCCACTATGTTAAACAGTATGAACATTTCTAAAAAAACAATTGAAAATAGTACTACCATATGACCCAGCAATCCCACTTGTGGGTATTTATCCGAACAAATCAAAAACACTAATTTGAAAAGATATATGCGCCCCTGTGTTCATTACAGCATTTATTTACAGTAGCCAAGATATGGGAGCAAACTAGATGTCCATCGATAGATGAATGGATAAAGAAGAGGTGGTATATACACACATACACAGACACACACACACAAAATGGGATATTACTTGGCAATAAAAAAGAACGCAATCTTACTATTAATATGCGGCAACATAGATGGACCTAGAGGTTATGCTAAATGAAGTAAGCCAGAGAAGGACAAATAACCTATGATTTCTCTTATATATAGAATCTAAAACACAGAACAAATGGACAAATAAAACAAGCAAACTCATAGATACACAGAAGAAAAGTGGTGATTATCACAGGGGGGAAGGGTTGGGAAGATGGGCGAAAAACGGTGAAGGGGATTAAAAAGTACAAACTGCCAGCCATTATTAAAAATTATATAGACTTACAATTCAATTATATTTAAAAACAAAGGTAAGGAAGACAAAAACTCTTCATTTCCTAATTATTCTGCCTTTTACCATTATCTGTGCTCGGAGGCTTTTTGTGTGTCCTCCTGTTTACGTGCTAGAAGCGCCACAGAGCGGGGGCTGCTGCACACCTGTTCCCAGGTCTGCAGTCAGTAATGTTCCATTGAAATCAGCCCTGGTGAGAGCGTTCCACACCATACGAACCTGGAAATCAGTGAACTCTACAAATCGGGGCTGGGTTTACTGTTTTGTGAGCCGTCATTCTAGACTTCAGAAAGTAATGGAGAAAATGTTAGGAATTAGCATCTAGCATTTTAACATTAAGTTACATGCACACCAAACGTCATACCCAATGCAGCAAAAAAGTCACTCACAAATTGACGAAAAACTGAATTCTGCATGCAACAGCTTCATGTATTTTCATTTCACTTTTGTCGTATTCATTAACGATACCAAAATGTCAACCAATGTAAGTGTCAAAGCTATACTCTTCCTTCAGTTGTAATCGTGTTGGCTACAATACCAGAGTTAGGCAAAAATCACCAGCTTCGTTCTGTGAGAATCAATCGACTGTATAGAATTTACAATAATGAGTGTTGTATATTTTATGATCATTTATAAATTATATGCTCCGCATCCTTTATACCAGCAAAATTTGTACTAGACATTACGATGCTCACTGTTTTCCCCCAGAGCTGGTTTTTAAGCACTTCCCAGGATAGCACTGGTGGGCATGGGTGGGTAGGTTGTATTATAACTGTGAGTCAAATTTATAAACTTACAGAATTAATTTTTAGAAAAAGGAAGTAGTGATGGAAACAAACTGATTCTAGCACATGAAAGTAAAATGTAGAGCCTGTTGAAGTTATGTTTTTCCTTTCTGTTCTTGTTTTTCCGGCGTTAAATGCATGGTCTTGTGATGGAAATTCATTTGTTCCAAGTTGAAGTCTAGGCATGAACTACTAGCTGTCACCCAGCAAAGTAAGCAAAAGGACTCTGATATCAGTT